TAGCGGCCCTGGACGCCACATTTCAGAGGCAGGTGAGGCACGACACGGACGCAGAGCTTGTAACAGCTAGTACTTGTTAGCTGGTACTGGGTACTTTAACTTGTAATCGTTATAAGCCACGAGTGAATCAATGAGCTTTTGCATTTTTTCGATCGTTCATGGAAAATATCCTAGACTGATTATGATAATGAGACACCTAAGATTGCAAGTTAAAACACGTTGAGCGGGAGCCACATAAGTCATACATTGCTCTCGTAGTCTCCAAGAAAACCCGTTTTAATTATCGTTCAAAAAGGAGACACGTCGCGTCTCAGTTGTGCTGCCTGAGGTCCGATAGCTCTACGTAACCACTACCGTGGCGCAGGACAACCTCATGCCTTCCTTTACATGACCGTTACATAATATACTGCCACTGAATTCATGCCTCCGCAATTACATAAATTAACCAAGCTGTCCGGTTTATTCGGCCCACAGGCTTTCGGTGACATCCTCTCGCTCGTCCCGATAGCCGAGAATGTGGTAAAGCTGAACGCCGTCTGTATGGAATGCTTCAGGACGGCGAGCTACACAAAGAGAAAGGGCTCCGAACAGCAGGTAGGAGCGCGCTGGACGGAGGGGGGAGGGGTGGCTTGGGGAAGTGTGGGGGCTTGGTGTGTGGGAGAGTGGTTTTGTTTGGTGGTGTCATGGTTTGAGACTTGAGATGGGTGTGCGATGCTATTGTGCGAGGATATGTCTGAATTACATTGGGGTGCTGGGGATTCGACGTACATCAACACACTTCCCCACGTAGTTTGTATCATGGACTGGCGCATCGCAGTTCTCACCTAATACTGAATGCAGTGCATGTAAGGGTCGATAACTGTTAATAATGCATCTCTCTTCTATCCTAAAAGCGGCTGGATTTGCGGTGGCCTGGTGAGTTTTAGAGTGATTGGCGCCGGCATGGGTCCACAGTGGGGTGATTAGCACAACTTCAAGGACGGATGATGATTAGCTCGAGTTATCGTATCAAAACACCGCCGTCTTCCACTTACGGGTGTAGCTAGTGCGAGCTCACCATGTCATAAGTTGTTGCTGTCTTACCGAAACACTTCACTTATCAGTGAGTTTGCTCTATTTACCTAGAATAGGTAGTCGCTCGCCGGAGCAAAATCCTATCACCCACTTCTCCTATCAGCTCCGGTCTAAGAGTCGCCTCTTCAGTATGCGATAGACGTCGCTTCTCAGGCTTAGGACCGGTGTGGAAAAGTTCATCTCCCCCTCGGTTCAGTTATGACCGTTTGCCCCCCCCCCCCCTCCTCCAGGTGGAAGTGATAGGTGGAACGGATAAATATCTCGCCGTCTGCCGCAAGTGCTACTTCGGATCATCGCCGCTAAACGGCAACGGCGCTAGTGTCGCTCCGGAAATTATCAGCCCCGTGAAGAAAGCCCTGTTCAATGGAGCCTCGTGACCTGAGTGACCTTGACCCTAGACGTGGCGACTTTACCTCTTCTATTGTCGGATCTTTTCACTCGCTTATCGAGAAGTTGGGTATATAAGCCCAAACCATCATCAAAGTTTGGTATATTCTGCGGAACAAACCAAGTCCTCCATGAAACGTTCAACTGCCGCAGTGACTTCTTGCTCGTCGTTCTTTGCATTACAGTGCTCATAGACTACTACATATCTGGACTGGACACGAAATTTCGCCGATTACCATAAGGGTACCAATGGAGTTTTATGTGTTAAATTTGATTGCCTTTCATAATGGATATATTATAATGAGCAGGTCGCATATTTGATCCCATCCCATGGTTATAACCGCGTGAACTTCGCCCTGCTTACTGATGCTCATTTGGCAGCTTAGAGGTCAGTGGAGAGAGTGCTGCGCGTGCTACGTGATGGTCTGCTATTAGTCATCATTTTGTCGCTTCTGCCATCTTCGTTGACAAGGAAACTCGCAGATAGTGGTTGCTTGTTTATGATATTCGCACATCACAATGAATCGTAATACAATGAATGCAAGCCACAATTATCACAGAAATTGATCACAATGATACACTATTGGAACTGTGACGCTCCTGCGATGTCACTCTTCCAGCTCCAGAAACTCACAGGACAAAACACGGAGAACTGGCGGCGGGCGTATATACGTTTGACCCGGGTCGCGCTGAGCCATACTGTGCCGGCGCACAAATGTAACGTACATACTGGCCACTAGATGGCACTGTGAGTCAGCGCCTGAAGGCATACTGTGCCGGTGCACAAAGGTAACTTAAATATCGGCCACTAGATAACGCTGTCAGTCAGCGCCTGCAGATGCAGTGGAGCCGAGCTGGTCCTAAGTCTTCTTACTCCCACTTAACTTGCGGCGCTTCTGGTCTTCCCTAGAGCATCTCTCCTTACTGGTACTGGCGCCGGGGTCTGTGGAACGCTTCCATTTTCCGTGTAGACGGCTGTTGGCGTCCTTGACCATGTTGCTGGCGAACAAATTGAATAGGGAGCCTGCCATACGCGATACTACAGTTGCAAGACAGTGGCCTCCTTCACAGCTGATGTCTGAGACAGTCACGTTCTCGGCCGATGTGATGACTTCACTCACCACATTCACGAAGACTGCTCGCGGCAGGTTGCTGCCGAACAGACGCTGCCTGCTGCTCTGCTCTTTGACGAGAGTCCTCCAAACACAGCAGATTCTGGAAGCGATGTCGATTGCAGTGGAAGTGGGTCGTATCAGCTTCCCTTCCTACGCCTATGCGTTCCTACGCCTATGCAAAACATCAATTCCATTGATAAACATACCTACCTGAAGCCCACGGGCAGGTGCTCCTTTTTTAGTTTCTGACAGAGATCAGCAAGGTTTTGTATCTGGTCGTCAGCGAAGAATGCCTGTGTCCGGTTTTAGGCCTCTTGTTCCTGTCGGAGTCGTCGTGCCGATGGGTCTGCAAACTTCGTCGGACGAGGTGTTGAGCGGCCTGTTACGAGTTCCACAAACGGCACAGCATCTTTCTTCAGAAGTCGCCGTTTCCGATCCTTGCCGCGTCTGTTAGCACCCAAACGAAAATCATGAGGACGGAAATGCTTTTCGCATATGCCACAGTTGACCCCGTTCAGGTTTTCCACGTTCCGTCCAATGGCTTCAGCCCATTTTCTCTTGCTTGCTTTATTTAGGGGGGATCGAAAAACGCTAAATCGTGGGGTAAGCTTATTGTTTTCCCTGTCCCATATCGTCGGCTTGTGTCCTGAACGACAGTTAGCAACTGCACAATATCTTGGCATTGTTGAACAGCTTCCATACTGCATACAACCACAAGTTATGAATTCATTGTGTTGTGGAACGATTGTACAGAAAGGGGAAATCACCAAAAAAATAATATTACAAATATCCACATTAAACCAACTTGGTATTGTGATGTATAAACTACAATTCCGACAAAGCTCAACGAAAACAATATGTTGAAATTTGGAATGTTTGAGATTCTATAAGTAAAATACTCATTATTGCAGCACGTGATAAATGCAATTAACATCCGTCATCCACCGCCTGCAGTACCCTTATTATGGAGCGAGCGAAGCGAGCGTAGTCTTTCCTTAGATTAACGGAAATTTCTGAGTATGAGCGGCCGGCCGGCCGGCCGGCCGGCCGGCCGTGGTCACGCTTTTGCGAGGCTTATATCTCAGCAACCACTTGACCGATTTACACGCGGTAATTTTTGTAGGGTAGCTTCATTCCTTCTACCAAGTATTGGACTATTCCCGATGCATGTGGGTGACCCCTTATGCACGTGCCACGTGCAAAACGAAGAGGTGTCACTTTTGTAATTGTTGCAATATCTCGGTAACTACTTGGCCGATTGCGCTGAAAGTTGGCATGTAGCTAGGCACCCACTAGGCAATGCATGTCCATGTGCCAGAGTTGGGGTGCTGCTGCACGTGCGCACGTGCAGGGGTCGATTTCAGATCTCGAGAACGGCTGGACCGATGGCGCTCAAATTTGGTACATGGTTAGGGACCGGTTAGTAGGGTGCAGTGCAAAAGTCAGTTGGGACCCATTTTGCACGTGCGCACGTGCAGGGTGCCGCTTCCAGATCTCGAGAACGGCTGGGCCGATTGTGCTCAAATTTGGCACATCGCTAGAGACCGGTTAGTAGGGTGCCGTGCACAAGTCAGCTGGAGGTACCCCTTCGAAATTTCGCACGTGCAAGGCTCACCCTCTCGCTCGCTCCGTTAGTCGCCCCAAAAGGCGTTATACTGGTGGTAGTCGGCCGAAATTCGTGTCCAGTCCAGATATGTAGTAGTCTCTGCAGTGCTTTAAACTGGGACCGATTTCATTTGTTCGTATGTGTGTGGGCTTGGGGTCTCCTGTGTTTTAATCGTGTCGCTTCTAAAACGATTAAATGCGTTTCGGTCTATCACGTTGTAGCTAATCTATGCGGACTTGTCTCGACATTTTCGTTTGTGGTCATTAGCTTAGCATGCATTTTAAGCTGCATTAAGTTTTCGGCTATCACCGATCGTCATTTTGCTATACCAAGTACAAATATTAGCATGCATCCTCTACTGTAATGTTTTCAGTGACATAGCCTTGTCTAATGAACGCTCATCGGTGTCCTCTTCTCTTGGCATTATTGGAGGCTCAAGTTTTACGCGCGGTGCTTATTTTCTCTGTCTCAGACCGGGTGCTGTTATCTGTACCTTTTTCTGGTTTTGTAAGGCGTTTGTGTCGCCCGGAATGTCTATTGCTGAATACATTCCTGTTTTATTGAACGGAAATATGAAGTTAATTCAGCGGGTCGAAGTGCTAGGTTAGGCATAGGTGTAGTCGTGAGTCATGGACTACTCTATATCGTGATACAGAAGACTATGCTGTAGTTTTCCTCGAAAACCATGTTGTTCCACAAGAAGGTGTTAGAAACATCAGTGCATACAAACCCCGATAAATTAGACGCGCAGAGGGTCACGGCTTCAAGAACACAAATGCATATAAAAGAAATCATCAAAATAAAACAAACAAGTGACCTGATGGACGATATATTGAGACATGACACCCCATGTGACGTCACAGCGCCCAAACCAGTGACGTATGATGACGTCACGCTTGCGTAAAACACGAAACGCTCACTCGACGATTAGAGCCGGCCCACAATAGGGAACCCTACCTGCACAGAAGGCGAACGCAATTTGTGATCATGATTGATACTGACGCAATGAAAAAAAATCAGGCAGCGGCAGCTTACAAATGCAACAAACCTACTCCGGTACATAATATTTGGTGACATTTCACAGCAATTTACACACAAAAACGACTCTGTCTTACCTTGCAGAGTCGACTTGGCTGCCTGGCGTACCAACTAAGTACTTAGTGTAACCGCCACCCTGAAACCAATGGCTTGTGTACGATTCATAGTGCAAGTGTGATCTAGAAACTGCCAACCCACGTGTCAAACGCTCGTCAACTAGCAGTCATAAGGTTCAAGTACACAACACTCTAAACCAGCTTTACTGCAGCAATGCCATTGCAGATGCAAAATCCCGAAATCCGCCAATATTTGTAAGGCACCAACATCTCACATCCGCCTTAACTCGTCACACGGTAGGGCTCGCGTCGCGCCTCGATAAAAACAGCACACTTGTACATCGTTGTGGAATGCATACCAGGCTCTGCAGACTTGCCGTACTCTATCTATTGGATACATCGATTGTCAAATAATAGTGGTATGGAGGTCGCATCAGCAAAGGGAGCTAAAAAGGACCGATAGCTAGATGATAATGTGAGCAGAGAATCCCACTGCATCACCCATGTCATAGAAAAATGAGCACAATCCCACAGCTAGCGCACAAACGGCGCGAAACACGCCGTTTCGCGCGGTAAGACACGGGTAAAACGCGGGCGCGCGCGCTTTCCTCTGAGATTACATATAGGCCACACATGGCAGTCACACATCCATGATGACACTCAGCACTGCCTGACATGACACAGGTGTCCCGCTATATTTCGGACAATCGCCTGTCACTTTCAAGACAAAGGCTCGTCAAATTGATCACTTGAAGCACTCGACGAAGCTCGGCTAGCAATACTTTGGTCCAAGTTGCCAAACTGAGCCAATTCAACTGGCTGCATATTCAAACCCCGGTCAAAATGTAATGTTCTCGGCCTCGCTCGCCGCAAGCTGGCCACTCGCTTTGTCACGCGACAATTATAAAGACAAAAGGAAAGCACACAGACTCGGCGCCAGCGCTGCACCATCGGCGAGCTAAGGGTCCATAGTCACGTCACCACTCGCCACTCCACCGCCAGCTGCCGGTTTCGGTCCTATGACGTCACCAGAACGCGGTCCCTCGGAATCCTTCACTTTACCCGTTTGAATCCATAAGCCGCCGCCATCTTGGGGCGTCTCAGTATAGGTGGCGCCACCGGTCGCGGCCGGTTCAGTAAAGGTGGCGCCACCGTCGGCGGCCAGGTCCGTTCGGGACGCCCGCCGGACGATATTGGCGGCATCTTCGACTACGACGCCGCTCTCCTGGACGATATCGATGAGCCGTTGTCGGACGCGGGCGCCCACCTCGTCCGACTGGGCGCCCTGAGCCTCGCGGCCGTCCGGCGACCTGTTAAAGGGGCAAGGGAGGTCAGGGCGGGTTGGGTCGGGGTGGGAATGAAGATTCATTCCATAGTTATGTTGAGGCCAGCACGGAGGCACATGGTCACAGGAAGTAAAAAAATACACCTTGCATTCTACTACAAAACAACTCGGATGAACACCTGAATCTCCATCACGAAAAAGGAATTCCAAATCAAGAACTAACATAGCAATGATTCGATACTCCCGGGCCGGATCAGCTCTCGAGATAACCATAATTAATAATTTTGACCATAAGAAAACATGGCATTGCCATAACAGATAGTATTGCCAAAACACCGCTCACGCGATCCGATACATTTTTCCTCCTGTCAATTACGCACAGTACATGCACAAACACACACACAAACCCTTCTCCTCCCTACCCGCTCTCCTCACTTTTCTCTGGCATCGCTCTCCAGCAGCGCCCCAATGAGCGACATGCCCGGCTGTGATCCGACCAGCATCGGACCGCGCTCCTCCCTGACGGCGCTGTCGGGGGTCCGCCCGCCGCGTCCCCCGCCCCGCCGGCCCGCGCCGCGGCGCCGCGGTGAGGGCGACTGACTGGGCGAGCCGCCCGGTGCCGGGCTGCGCCGCCACGGCGGAACGGCCGACGGGTCCGGCTCCTGGCGATGAGGGAGGAGTTGTTAGAGGACAATCGTGAGACTCGCGAGAGTGCGAGCTTTTAGTGAGTCCTAGTTTGACGTGTGTTGATTTTCTTTTGCTTGGGGCGCCCTTACTTCTCTTTATGGTCATCGTCACATATAAATTTTTATTGTCAATTCTAGATAATGTTACATCCATATTGGCTATAGAGCCTTACATAATAGATGGTCTATTAGAGCGGCATTTATCTTATAGATACTCCAGTATTACCAGCTTATCTGATCATTGATCATTGATCTTTTTCTCATTGCCTTCCTAAAATTCACCAAACACCCTCCCCAGTCCCCGCCCGCTCCCGCCCCTCCCTGTCACCACCTACCAGGGTCCAGTCGTACTGGTCACAGTAGTACCGGCTGAAGATGGGTTCATCGCGGACCTCCTGAGCCGCCGACCACACGTGAGCCAGCAGGCGCGGGAACCGTGACGTCCAGTAGCGGACAAATTCCTCAGGGATTGTGCCCAGCGCCCGGCGCGCCTCTTCGTTCAGCTCACGGTAGTGGTTCCGCTGTGTGAGAAAGGGAGGGTGAGCGCCCGGGTGAGTTGAGCTGGGGGTGGTTTCGCTGTTGAGTGACAGGGAAGGGAAGAGTAGGCGCGTTTGGCTCATAGTAAGGGACAGCTCTCCAAGGGAGAATGGTAACTTCCCAGCAGGTGTCATGGCCCGTTACGGTCAACTGTTACCTCGATACTCGATGCTAATTAGCTCGAAGAGAGAAATGCTAATAAGATAATTAGCATATCACTCTCTCTCTCTCTCTCTCTCTCTCTCTCTCTCTCTCTCTCTCTCTCTCTCTCTCTCTCTCTCTCTCTCTCTCTCTCTCTCTCTCTCTCTCCCTCTCTCCTAATGTTTAACTTCTTAGCGATTTACGTTTTAACGAAAAGCGACTAACGATTTTTACGACGATTCTACAATAACGATTTACGAAAGGACTGCCTGCATTTATATTCTCAAAAAGGGCATTGTTGGACTCAGAAAAGTGTACCTCACCACACAAGTCATGAGCCCGTGGCGTATACTTTTCCAAAATTCGTTGCTTGACAACCCTAATGCTCAAATTAAACCAAGACATCATTCAACTCTGATAGTAAGCATGCACTCGGCTACCATGACTCATTGAGTGTTCATATTTTATTGTGTATTATATGTCAACGATGTTCATGCATAAGACAACGGAAGGGGCAGCTAGTGCAACAGAGAGCTCAAAGGCCACTGCAAATGTTTATCGCTCGGTCTGTCGGTCACGGGACCGGGCCGCCTGACCGGATGTGGCGCCTCTGACAGAGGTCAGCCCCACCGAGCTCTGCAGACGTCCTGCCAGCTCCAAGCCGTCAGTCCGAGGTCGGCAGCCGGCGACGGAGGTAGGTCCCCTCCTAGCCAACATGGCTAGCACAGTGATCGGGGTGATACTTGTCGTCTGGACCGCCCTAGCCGGGCGGTCCGCGGCGCAGCAGCAGCAGCCGGCCGCCCTGCCCAGCGCTCTTGCTGACGAGGTGTTCACCATCATCAACACAGCAGTTCAGCGAGAGCTACGACCAATCGTGAGAAGATTCGAGTCACTGGTGGAGTCGCTGGACAACAGACTGACTCTGCTCGACTCCAGGATGAGTACGCTGACTGCCCACGTTTTGACGAACCGACTGGGTGAGCAGATGGAAGAACTGTCCAGTCAACTGAGTGGAATCACTGCGAGACTCGACAGCCAGCAATCACAGCTCGACAGTCAACTATCTCAACTGAGCGAGCTAAACACCCATCTCAATGAACAAAAAACACAACAAGAGGAGACTGCAGTCACAGTGAATAGTGTCACAGTGCAACTGGATAGCATCGTTACACAGCAAGATCAACTCACTCAGACGTCTCAACTGGCTACAAGGCTCGACAGCCAGGAATCACAACTGAACGACCTCAACACCCAGCTCAACGAACAAAAAACGACGCAGGATGAGGCTTCAGTCAAAATGGATAACTATACATCGCGTCTCGATACATTGATTTCCCGCATTGACAAACAGGAAGCAAAGCTATCCGGAGCAATCAACGACACATCATTCCAACAGAAGACCATAATTGACGACCTTGCTGCTACGGTAAAACAATTAATCCCTCACCCTGGCCATGATTGCAGCGACCTGCCTGTCGACTCTCCATCTGGTGTCTACCTCCTTCGGCCCAGTGGTAACATCAGACAACCACCCGTCGAGGCCTACTGTGATATGGACACTGCCGGAGGGAACTGGACGGTGTTTCAACGTAGAGACAACATCGAGCCCCGCCAGGATTTCTACCTGGGATGGAAGGAGTATAAGGAGGGATTTGGTGATGTAACCCAGGAATTCTGGTGGGGCCTAGAACACCTATTTCAGCTGACGTCATCAGACCGACAGTACGAGCTCCGTGTTGATCTTGAGGCGTTCGACGGCAGTCGAGCCTACGCTGTATACCAAGGGTTCCGTATCTCGTCTGAGGAGGACGGCTACAAACTGAGCGTCTCCAACTACTCGGGACCTGCCCGGAATAGTCTGTACTGGAGCGTCAATAAGAAGTTCTCTACCCGTGACCGTGACCAGGACGGCTCGTCTTACCGTCACTGTGCACAGCAACGTCAGGGGGCCTGGTGGTACGGCGGGTGCGGGTGGAGCAGCCTGAACGGACGTTTATATACTTAGCTTCAAATTCAAATTCAGATTCCAAATTCATATTCGATGGAAAAAATGATAAAAACGGACCCCTTAGAATCTCACCAAATTTACACCAGCCACTCAGCATGACCTGGTCATCACAGAATAAAATTATCTAAGCTCGGCAAGCCCTGGGGGCTGAGATATCAGGGGTCAAAGTTCAAGGTCATTGAGGGCGGACCCCTCAGAATTACCTCAAAATTTGCACACAGATGCAAGTTGACCTGCTGAGCACGATGGACATAAAATCTAAGCCCGGCAAGCCCTGACCTAGAAGTTAGGTCAGGTCAAAGTTTGCATCCACGTGGAGGTCACGTGACCCTTTTACAGCGGACCCCTCAGATTTTGATGAAATTTTGTAAGCTGATGCATCTAGACACCCTCATTAATATCCTAAATTATCTAAGTTCGGCAAGCTCTGGGGGCTGAGATAATGAGGGGTCAAAGGTCAAGGTCATTTGAGAGCGGACCCCTTCAATTTTTGTTAAAATTCAAATCACCCCTCAACTTTGTCTTCTGAATTTAATGGTAAAAATTTCTAAGCTCGGCAAGCCTTAGAAAAGCCAGAATGAGTATTTAGAAAAACGAGCATTTGTTTTCCAATATGGCTGACAGGTAGGTATTGTGGCGCATCAATGACATAATTGACGCGTGTAAATAGGCACCGCGCCATATTCATTTTATTTTGTAGTGTAGACCCATGGGTTCCATGGTGTAGGTAAGGGTAAGAATCTTGGGTAAGGGTATATAGGGCCCTGGGCTGAGTGTAGGTATATACATATAACATATTGATATAACATGCCGTGGTGTGTAAGTTAAGGTGAAGGTGATATGATGTGTGTGATCCATGGAATGGGCGTGGCTTCAGAATCAGGGTTATCAGCCACAATTCTTAGAATGAGTTTTATGCTAGCTGATTATTATAGGTACTTTTGAAACCTATGCATACCTATGACCTATCTGAGGGCTGTTTACGGGCCCTGTGTGCAGTCGGACCATACACAAGCTCTAAGCTCCGCCCACTGCGTCCCTAAGCCATTCTTCCGTCACCGCGCACAGCAACCGCTGTGGTCGGTCGGGACTGGCCACAGGCCGTCCACCGCATGGCATGCAGCTGTGATATCAGAACCGGTTACCCTTCCCCTGCCCCTAAGCTTGCTGTACATACCACACACAGTGAACTCAGCAGTTTATGATGCCCGCGAACACCCCTCTGTATTCAGTTGCAGGAAGGCTCCTTTGTGCAGACTATCCAATTTTGGAACTGTACTCAAGGCTATTGTCACAAGGTATGCGTGCCACATGCTACACCAGATGTTCGTCTACAATCTTTCTCCACCCAATGTATTCTCATCGTCATCTGGAATGGCCTCGCAGAAAATGTTGCGACCGCACCTGACCTAACTAGCTTTAAGAGGGCCTAGGGTGATGTGACATATAACAAACTGTACCAGCCCGCAAAGTAGGTAGTTGATAAAGATGAGCAGCTTTTGTCAAATAATCTTGATTCACACATAATTTTTGTATGAGTTTTTCATATGGATGCTGTAACTCCAGGTGTTATGTAACCCCTGCCTTCCTCTGCTCACTGACTGCCTCTCACTGCCTCTCACTGCCTCCCACCGGCTCTCACCGCCTCTCACTTCCTCCTGCCCTGCCTCTGACTGCCTGCCTCTGCTCACTGACTGCCTCTACTGCCTCTCACTGCCTCTCACCGCCTCTCACTGCCTCTCATTGCCTCTAACTTCCTCTCACTGCCTCTCACTGCATGTCACTGCCTCTCACCGCCTCTCGCCGCCTCTCACCTCTTCTCACTGCCTCCTTCCCTGCCTCTGACTACCTGCCTCTGCTCACTGACTTCCTCTCACCGCCTCTCACCGCCCCTCACCGCCTCTCATCGCCACTCACCACCTCTCACTGCCTCTCACTGCTTCTCACCGCCTCTCACTGCCTCTCACTGCATGTCACTACCTCCTACCACCTCTCGCCGCCTCTCACCGCCTCTCACTGCCTCCTGCCCTGCCTCTGACTGCCTGCCTCTGCTCACTGACTGCCTCTCACCGCCTCTCACTGCTTCTCACCGCCTCTCACCGCCTCTCACTGCATGTCACTACCTCTCACCACCTCTCGCCGCCTCTCACTGCCTCTCACTGCCTCCTGCCCTGCCTCTGACTGCCTGCCTCTGCTCACTGACTGCCTCTCACCGCCTTTACTGCCTCTCACTGCCTCTCACTGCATTTCACTGCCTTTGATTGCCTCTAACTTCCTCTCACTGCCTCTCATGACTGCATGTCATTGCCTCTCACCCCTTCTCGCCGCCTCTCTCTGCCTCTCCCCGCGTCTCACTGCCTCTCACCTCTTCTCACTGCCTCCTTCCCTGCCTCTGACTGCCTGCCTCTGCACTGACTTCCTCTCACCGCCTCTCACTGCCTCTCGCCGCCTCTCACTGCATGCCACAGCCTCCCACCGCCTCTCACCGCCTCTCACTGCATGTCACTGCCTCTCACCACCTCTCGCCGCCTCTCACTGCCTCTCACCACCTCTCACTGCCTCTCACCACCTCTCACTGCCTCTCACTACCTCCTGCCTTGCCTCTGACTGCCTGCCTCTGCTCACTGACTGCCTCTCACCGCCTCTACTGCCTCTCACTGCTTCTGACTGCCTTCCTTTGCTCGCTGACTACCTCTCCCTGCCTCTCACCGCCTCTCACTGCCTCTCACTGCATGTCACTGCCTCTCACCACCTCTTGCCGCCTCTAACCGCCTCTCACTGCCTCTCACCGCCTCTCACTGCCTCCTGCCCTGCCTCTGACTGCCTACCTCTGCTCACTGACTGCCTCTCATCGCCTCTACCGCCTCTCACTGCCTCTCACCGCCTCTCACTGCCTTCCTCTGCTCACGGACTACCTCTCACCACCTCTCACTGCCTCTCAACGCCTCTCACCGCCTCTCACTGCCTCTCACCGCCTCTCACTGCCTCTCATCGCCTCTCACTGCCTCCTGCCCTGCCTCTGACTGCCTGCCTCTGCTCACTGACTGCCTATGCTCACTGACTGCCTCTCATCGCCTCTACTGCCTCTCACTGCCTCTTACCGCCTCTCACTGCCTCTAACTTCCTCTCACTGCCTCTCACTGCATGTCATTGCCTCTCACCGCCGCCTTTCTCTGCCTCTCGCCGCCTCTCACTGCCTCTGACTGCCTGCCTCTGCTCACTGACTTCCTCTCACCGCCTCTCACCGCCTCTCGACGCCTCTCACTGCCTCTCACTGCCTCTCACTGCATGTCACTGCCTCTCGCCGCCTCTCACTGCCTCTCAATGCCTTCTGCCCTGCGTTTGACTGCCTACCTCTGCTCACTGACTGCCTCTCATCGCCTCTACTGCCTCTCACTGCCTCTCACCGCCTCTCACTGCCTCTCACCGCCTCTCACTGCCTCCTGTCCTGCCTCTGACTGCCTGCCTCTGCTCACTGACTGCCTCTCACCGCCTCTCACTGCCTCTGACTGCCTTCCTTTTCTCACTGCCTCTCACCGCCTCTCACCGCCTCTCACTGCGTCTCACTGCCTCCTGCCCTGCCTCTGACGGCCTGCCTCTGCTCACTGACTGTCTCTCATTGCCTCTCACTTCCTCTCACTGCCTCTCACCGCCTCTCACTGCCTCTAACTTCCTCTCACTGCCTCTCACTGCATGTCATTGCCTCTCACCCCTTCTCGCCGCCTCTCTGCCTCTTCCCGCGTCTCACTGCCTCTCACATCTTCTCACTGCCTCCTTCCCTGCCTCTGACTGCCTGCCTCTGCACTGACTTCCTCTCACCGCCTCTCACTGCGTCTCACTGCCTCCTGCCCTGCTTCTGACTGCCTGCCTCTGCTCACTGACTGTCTCTCATTGCCTCTCACTTCCTCTCACTGCCTCTCACCACCTCTCACTGCCTCTCACTACCTCCTGCCTTGCCTCTGACTGCCTGCCTCTGCTCACTGACTGCCTCTCACCGCCTCTACTGCCTCTCACTGCTTCTGACTGCCTTCCTTTGCTCGCTGACTACATCTCACTGCCTCTCACCGCCTCTCACTGCCTCTCACTGCATGTCACTGCCTCTCACCACCTCTTGCCGCCTCTAACCGCCTCTCACTGCCTCTCACCGCCTCTCACTGCCTCCTGCCCTGCCTCTGACTGCCTACCTGTGCTCACTGACTACCTCTCATCGCCTCTACCGCCTCTCACTGCCTCTCACCGCCTCTTACCGCCTCTCACTGCCTTCCTCTGCTCACGGACTGCCTCTCACCACCTCTCACTGCCTCTCAACGCCTCCCACCGCCTCTCACTGCCTCTCACCGCCTCGCACTGCCTCTCATCGCCTCTCACTGCCTCCTGCCCTGCCTCTGACTGCCTGCCTCTGCTCACTGACTGCCTCTCATCGCCTCTACTGCCTCTCACTACCTCTTACCGCCTCTCACTGCCTCTAACTTCCTCTCACTGCCTCTCACTGCATGTCATTGCCTCTCACCGCCACTCGCCGCCTTTCTCTGCCTCTCGCCGCCTCTGACTGCCTGCCTCTGCTCACTGACTTCCTCTCACCGCCTCTCGCCGTCTCTCACCGCCTCTCGACGCTTCTCACTGCCTCTCACCGCCTCTCACTGCCTCTCACTGCATGTCACTGCCTCTCGCCGCCTCTCACTGCCTCTCAATGCCTTCTGCCCTGCTTCTGACTGCCTACCTCTGCTCACTGACTGCCTCTCACCGCCTCTCACTGCCTCTGACTGCCTTCCTTTGCTCACTGCCTCTCACCGCCTCTCACCGCTTCTCACCGCCTCTCACCGCCTCTCACTGCATGTCACTACCTCTCACTGCCTCCTGCCCTGCCTCTGACTGCCTGCCTCTGCTCACTGACTGCCTCTCACCGCCTTTACTGCCTCTCACTGCCTCTCGGCTCTCACTGCATTTCACTGCCTTTGATTGCCTCTAACTTCCTCTCACTGCCTCTCATGACTGCATGTCATTGCCTCTCACCCCTTCTCGCCGCCTCTCTCTGCCTCTCCCCGCGTCTCACTGCCTCTCACCTCTTCTCACTGCCTCCTTCCCTGCCTCTGACTGCCTGCCTCTGCACTGACTTCCTCTCACCGCCTCTCACTGCCTCTCGCCGCCTCTCACTGCATGCCACAGCCTCCCACCGCCTCTCACTGCATGTCACTGCCTCTCACCACCTCTCGCCGCCTCTCACTGCCTCTCACCACCTCTCACTGCCTCTCACTACCTCCTGCCTTGCCTCTGACTGCCTGCCTCTGCTCACTGACTGCCTCTCACCGCCTCTCGCCGCCTCTCGACGCCTCTCACTGCCTCTCACCGCCTCTCACTGCCTCTCACTGCATGTCACTGCCTCTCAATGCCTTCTGCCCTGCGTCTGACTGCCTACCTCTGCTCACTGACTGCCTCTCATCGCCTCTACTGCCTCTCACTGCCTCTCACTGCCTCTCACCGCCTCTCACCGCCTCTCACTTCCTCCTGCCCTGCCTCTGACTGCCTGCCTCTGCTCATTGACTGCCTCTCACCGCCTCTCACTGCCTCTGACTGCCTTCCTTTGCTCACTGCCTCTCACCGCCTCTCACCGCCTCTCACTGCGTCTCACTGCCTCCTGCCCTGCTTCTGACTGCCTGCCTCTGCTCACTGACTGTCTCTCATTGCCTCTCACTTCCTCTCACTGCCTCTCACCGCCTCTCACTGTCTCTCACTGCCTCTCGCCGCCTCTCACTTCATGTCACAGCCTCTCACCGCCCTGCCCTGCCCTGCCCTGCCCTGCCCTGCCCTGCCCTGCCCTGCCCTGCCCTGCCCTGCCCTGCCCTGCCCTGCCCTGCCCTGCCCTCTGAGCTCCTTGTCAGTCAGCTCCTGTCAAGTGTCCGTGGTCGGTAGAGCGGCGGCGCCGGACGGCTGACGTGTGGTCGGTACGTGTCCGCGTGCCCGCAGTTCCTGTGCCGTGTCGAGAATGTGATGAAGCGCCAGGAGTCGCCGGAGAGTAGTGACGGTTCGTCAGCCGTGGTTTGCGTGGTGCCGCCGGTGCGCCGCTCTCCCGCCGAGCCGCCCCTTCTCGTCGCCCAGTCTGGCCGCCCAGCCGAGCCTGGCGCGGCTGACGGCGCCTTAGACGGCATCATGTAGAACCAGCATGGGTCGCTGGCGGCGGGCCTCGGCGCCTATCCGGTGCACGCTGCCTACGGCGAGAACCTCTAGGTGAAGAGTGAAGGCGGCGGTGGCTCGTTGCAGTACTCTGCCGGCGCCAGCGAAGAACCGGCCTCTACCGCCGCTGGGCCGGTGCCGCACTCCTCTGCGCCCCAGGTGAGTCCCGGCGGCCGACTCGGCTACTTCACAGTGTCAGCGCGCTGAAAAGAGTCCCGCCCAAGACTGAAGGATCGGACGTGGTCCCTAGTTGGTCTGGGCCCCAATCCCACACTCATGCTTATTTCGTAATGCTGTGGGATATGCGGCTTTGCTTGAGTGTTGAAGCAGACTCAGATATGTAACTGGTTGATCCGGTGAATGTCTGGATATTCATGCATTCTGTCTGCAGCTTTTTTGGCCAAATTGTGGAACCGATGGCTTATTCGGATAAAACCGAAACATGAATCCTGCACTGTTCGAGCGACCCTCGTCCTCCCAACCGCCCTACCTGACGCTGTCTTCTCCTCTAACCGCTTCCGACCCGTATGTACCGTACCTCCTGTCAGGCAGACGACCGGGCCGATCGCCCACCAGCCGAATATGACGGCAGCCGCCATGGTGATGGGTGCCGACAGCGACGGGAAGCCGCCGCCGCCGACGCCGATGCCGGCGCTGTTCAGCCCAGCTACCACCGACTCAAGGTGGAAGACGTGCTCTCCTACCAGAACCAGGTCAAGTCCAAGTTCCAGAACAACCCACAGGTCCACAACGACTTCCTCGATATAATGAAGGAGTTCAAGGCGCAAAAGTAAGTTAAAGCTGGCTGTCTTATGTCATACTTATGCTGTTCTTGCTCTTACATATTCTCAACTTTACTTATTTGCTATTTGTATCGTCTGCAAAAACGAACGTCACCTTACGCAATTTTGAGCACGTTTAATTTGACCAAGCGGCGAGCGCTGCCGTTCCCTGTCCTGCAGCCGCCGCTGTCCCCTGTCGAGTGTCTGACTCCCGTTTCTCTCTGTATAGTCAATCTAATGTAGTCATTTTTTAGCGCAATATAGTCATCTAAACTGAGTTTTGTTGAGATGTTCGATTTAATGGTAGTTTTGTGTACCTGTTTGTAGTGACTTTTGATGAAAATTATGTTTTAAAGCTGTTTTATTTTTGTATCTTGTAGGGAAATGCAAATTCTAGTTCTGCTGAGTTTCATATGGCCTGATTAACTGACCCCGTATTGTTCATTACTTAAGCTTCGTTTCGCCACTGCTCATACAACCATCATGACGCTGATTGGCATGCTCTCGCCGGCAGTACCTACACGTCTTGATGATGGCGCCGGGCTAGGTGACCACAGCGCGGTGCACACGCCCACTGGCGGCTTCCAGACCTACTCGGACACAGTGGTACCGACGCCGCCGCCGCAGCCCCAGCAGCAGCAGCCACCGCCACCGCCGCTGCCGACGGCGCCCGGCGCGCCGCCCAAACCGAGTCACCAGCGGCCACCGAGGTGAGCTGGCGGCCTGACCCTTCAGATAGGGTGAATCCAACTACATGCGTGTGGACGTCAGGGAAAGGGCTGCTATGGTTGCTATTCATTCTTCTCCTGTGCTGTTTTTTTTTTTCTTTGTTGAAATAATATGCGAATATCCAGCGTTGTTGATCACATGCGCCCCTGCTGACGCTCTGATTCTGTTGCTTGCCACAGGAGTAGGTATGGCACCAACAGGCAACAACATCCTGTCGCACGCTGTGCGGCGGCGGCCGGCGTCGGGGGCCACCACGTCACCGCGCACCACTCGTACAACCAGCCGCCGTCGTCCGCGGGACGACCCATTCACCTCCAGTGGGTCCCCTCGCATTGCGGCCTTCCTGGAAATGAGAGGGCAGACACCCTGGCGGAGGAGACCTCCGCCCTGGACCAGAACTCAGACACACACCACTGGACACCAGAACGATCCAGAGAGCAGCGGCAAGGCTGGCGCGTGCGAGGACCAGAGCGGCCTGGCCCGACGGCTGGTATCGCCAACTGCCGGTGTGGGCTCTGTCGTGAGGAAGCAGACACCTCGGCCCACGCGCTGATGCGGTGTCCCGCCCTGGTGCAACTGCCGGTTCCGAGTGTTCGGAACTATACACCCGACCCACGAGGACCTGCGCAGCATCGACGCAGTAGCGGCCCTGGGTGCCGCCTTCGTCCCCCTCCAGAGCCGGCAGGATACGCCCTAGGGCTGGAGGGAAACAACAACAACAACAACAACAACAGAGGACATGAACCCACTTAATGTGTTCAAACGCTACCGCGACAGCCGCAAGGTGCTCGAGTACCGGACGGAGCTGTTCAGCTCGTGTTGCGAGGTGCCATCGGCGTGGTGCCGGCGCAATATGAGCACGGTACGCTGCCGTGCGCCAGCTGCCTCAGTCTGCTGGCCAGCCCGGTGAGACGGCACCTCGCCGTCGCCGCCGGACGCTCAGGTAGGATCTCTGAGTGATGTGCTGAGCTCAGCTTGAATTGACCTCAGTCACCCAGCAGCGACTGGAGCGGTCCGAGCGAGCCCGTGTACCGCCGCCAGTGTTTGGTCGTGTTTGGGGCCGTACGGCGCGGGTGATCTGTACGGGCGCGGCCGTATCTTATGTTACGTATCGTAGCTAAGCACGACTTGACACTGTCCACCACGGGACCCGCCCATGTTGACGGCGTCGCAATGTACTCATTGATTGACTAGTGCTGCGCGACTGCTCGGAGTTGACCAGTTAACGTTTTGTAGGCTTTATTATCACTGGCGGAGGCGTGGGGACTGGGGAGTGTTTTCTATTCGTCAGTGTTTGCCGAGGCGAGGCTGCTTAATGCCGATTGTGACATGTTACTATGTATCCTCACGTGAAGTCGTTGGGTTATCTAACTTGGTTCATCAATAAATGGTGCGACCTACAAAGTGACAATGAGATGAAAACGACTGAGTCATCTTTATGGAAAAATGTCTGTGACGTATGTGAAAGCAGGTCATATTGGTGTGCAGGTCATACGAGGTCAACTGAGGTCACTGACCCAGGACTAAAACTGGTTATCCTAAGATAACTCGTAACGCTCGCAATACACTCGTTTTTTCCGCGAAGCTCTAACTCCCATCAGGGGCCCGAACGGCGGCGTGCGGGGTTCCAACGTACCTCCGGCACCTTCACCCGCACACCGCACACGGGCGAGAGTTCAGACAAATCAGAGGTCACTGGTCCTTTTAACATGTCAGGTAAGTGGTTCCTTTCTGGGTACGTCAAAGGTCAATGACCCACATGACGGAGGTCAGAGGCCCGTGACGCGTCATTCATCTCAGTTCAGGTCAGATCCGAGTTAGGAGATGTGAGAGCTCAAGTTGAAGTGACACCTATGGTTAGCGATCTTCGGGAATAGGTCGAATGTGTGTGACCTGTAGGTACTAGAAAAGGTTTCAGGTCATTCATCCACCAAGGGCTTATATCAGGGGTCACTGGCCCGTTATGAAGATAGGTATGAGGTTCAGGTCGTAGACTCGTAATCCATCAAAAAACATAAAACGGCCACTATCTATGAAGGAAATAGTAAAATCGATCGATTTGTAAAGGAATTGCTTCATTTGGAAGCATGCAGTTTGCTTACATTTTACGCGTCAATTATGTCATTGATGCGCCACAATACCTACCTGTCAGCCATATTGGAATACAAATGCTCGTTTTCTAAATACTCATTCTGGCTTTTCTAAGGCTTGCCGAGCTTAGAAATTTTTACCATTAAATTTAGAAGGCAAAGTTGAGGGGTGATTTACGTTTTAACAAAAATTGAAGGGGTCCGCTCTCAAATGACCTTGACCTTTGACCCCTCATATCTCAGCCCCCAGAGCTTGCCGAACTTAGATAATTTAGGATATTAATGAGGGTGTCTAGATGTATCAGCTCACAAAAATTCATCAAAATCTGAGGGGTCCGCTTTAAAATGGGTCACGTGACCTCCACGTGGCTGCAACCTTTGACCTGACCTAACTTCTAGGTCAGGGCTTGCCGGGCTTAGATTTTATGCCCATCGTGCTCAGCATGTCAATTTGCATCTGTGTGCAAATTTTGAGGTAATTCTGAGGGGTCCGCCCTCAATGACCTTGAACTTTGACCCCTGATATCTCAGCCCCCAGGGCTTGCCGAGCTTAGATAATTTTATTCTGTGATGACCAGGTCATGCTGAGTGGCTGGTGTAAATTTGGTGAGATTCTAAGGGGTCCGTTTTTATCATTTTTTCCATCGAATATGAATCTGCAATCTGAATCTGAATTTGAAGCTAAGTATATAAACGTCCTGAACGGACGGTACCGGGACGGCGGTGAATGGGACGGCACTGGAATATGGTGGTGGACATGGAGGGACGAGCAATCACTGAAGAAATCAGAGATGAAGATCCGGCCCACCTAACTCATCTACACACTAAGGAGGTCATCACAGAGATGTACAGTCGGTGTCACAAACACCGTGCGGCAGTAGCTCGGACACTATAGCAGAGCCAATTATAGCAGTGTCATTAACCCAGACATTGCTAGTGCTGTGGGCGGTTATGAGGGCGTTCTACCATGGTGAGAGTGGAACAAATGGGAAATATGTTACTTTATACCACCAGAACGAAGTACGTTGTAATAGTCGCGGACGAATACAATACATTTTGCATGTACAATAGAGTGTCACGTCACCACACCGACCTATCCTCACCTTATTCCTCAGCGCTCTCAGCAGGTCCCTCACACTGGAGGGCCGGTACGAGCGGAACTTGCCGAGGTCGTCCAGTATAAACGAGTCTATCCTCTCTCGCCAGTTGCCGCCTGTCACCTCCCAGCCTCGCCGCTCTAGCCGGCGGACCAGCTCGGCGTCCGGCAGCTCCTTCTCGATACGGTCCGACACGTCCTGGGGAAACAGACAACAGTCAACGGAGTACAGTAATTACAGGTCCGACACGTCCTGGGGAAACGGAGAACAGTCAACGGATATTTACAGTAATTACAGGTCCGACACGTCCTGGGGAAACGGAGAACAGTCAACGGATATTTACAGTAATTACAGGTCCGATACGGTCCGACACGTCCTGGGGAAACAGACAACAGTCAACGGATATTTACAGTAATTACAGGTCCGATACGGTCTGACACGACTGGTAGTTACAAATATGGACAAAAGGTTGCATACGGAGAAAGTTTGGAGAAGGATGCTGGCAGATATGCCACGTCGATCTGCTACATCATACATGGCCTGGAACGCAAACTCATTGAACCAGTATAACGCCTTTTGGGGCGACTAACGGAGCGAGCGAGAGGGTGGGCCTTGCACGTGCGAAATTGCGAGGGGGTACCTCCAACTAACTTGTGCACGGCACCCTACTAACCGGCCTCTAGCGACGTGCCAAATTTGGGCACAATCGGCCCAGCCGTTCTCGAGATCTGGAAGCGGCACCCTGCACGTGCGCACGTGCAAAATGGGTCCCAACTGACTTGTGCACGGCACCCTACTAACCGGTCCCTAACTGTGTACCAAATTTGAGCGCAATCGGTCGAGCCGTTCTCGAGATCTGGAAACGACCCCTGCACGTGCGCACGCGCAGCAGCACCCCAACTCTGGCACATGGATATGTAGTGCCTAGTGGGTGCCTACCTACATGCCAACTTTCAGCGCAATCGGCCAAGTAGTTACCGAGATATTGCAACAATTACAAAACGGACACCTCTTCGTTTTGCACGTGGCACGTGCATAAGGGGTCACCCACATGCATCAGGAATAATCCAATACTTGGTAGAAGGAATGAAGCTACCCTACAAAAATTACCGCGTGTAAATCGGTCAAGTGGTTGCTGAGATATAAGCCTCGCAAAAGCGTGACCACGGCCGGCCGGCCGCTCATACTCAGAAATTTCCGTTAATCTAAGGAAAGACTCCGCTCGCTTCGCTCGCTCCGTAATAACGCTTCTGTGCGACACAACCGTCACTCAGCCACGCTGGCCTCAACACCCCACTCCTATTCGTCTAGCATGGAATACAGGCTTGCCCCCTCCATCCCTACCGCTCCCTTACACTTGGACAGTTCCATCCAAGATACCTGGTCCCATCCCCCTTTCCCAGACCGGCCGCTCTGACCTGGAAGAAGTGCAGCACGCCCTGCGGCGACCAGAAGGTCGGGTGGGACAGCACTGCAGCCACCGTGGGCCGCTGGTCCGGCTCGGCGGAGACCATCCGGCGTATCAGAGATGTTGCCGTAATGTCGTCCACAGCCGAGAGACTTGAAGGGGAGAGAGGGGTCAGTACGAACTACGTCTGGGAGCCATTGAGGGACGAATAGAAACAAACATTGCGTTTCAGCTGGCATGGGAAGTCGTTTGAAAATGTTTTGGATCCAATAAAGTTATGCTATTTACATCCCATTGAAATTTCATTGGCTTTTACCTCGATGGAATCATGGAAGAAAGATCAGAATGAATCTAACTCAAGGTTGAATGTTTCAGAGCGCTACGCTATTGTTCAGGACGGTTCAGACACCGGAAACTTTTACACTGAATCTGTAGCGGAGTGACTGGAAACTGCAGAGAAACTGACCAGAACTCGCCGCTGAGGATGTTGTACTGTCGGCGGAAAGACTCGCCGAACGGATGGTGTCCTCCGCTGAGCACATAGTAGAACACACAGCCCAGCGAGAACACGTCCACCGCGCACGTCTGCGGGAGCACAGCGGAGCACGGAACACAGCCACGTCAGAGGAGGTTGGAGATAGGAGACGGGGTTTTGAAGCTAGGAACCAATTTGTATATAATAAGCAGCGTTAATCGGCCCGCTGTAAAGCTCCACCAGGTTAATGAATTTGAAACTCCTTCTTTAAATTCACATTCAACCAGACTTAGAAGACGATTCTCTAGCTTCGATTTATCTAGACAATTCATTTTAAAAATACCGAAGTCCGAAATATTGCATCAGCTGAATCTTATCATTGTTATGACCACTGACAATTAATAAAACATACAAATCATCATCAGGAGCTTCCATTACTTTCCCACCCTTACTTTCTGTTACCTAGTTCGACTTTCTCTCATTATTTTTACTATATCCTCTCTCCTCTCCTTTCTCCCTTCCTCTTCCTGCCCTCCCCCCTCTCTCTCTCTCCCTCTCTTTCTCTCCCACTCACCGCTCTACCCTCTCCATCGGCCATCTCCGGAGCGATCCATCCCTCGGTGCCTGCCACGCCTGATCGTCGAGAGAACGACGCCCGTCCGCGGGACAGTTTCTTGCACAGACCAAAGTCTGAGATCATGGCCACGGCGCCGCCGCTGCTCCGTGCAGCCAGCAGGACGTTGTGCGGCTTTATGTCGCGGTGAACTGACGGAGGGGGGAGGGGGAGGGAGAAGGAAGAATGTCAGAGCGGAAGGGACTGATGACAAAACTACAATATGTCCATTTTCTACAATATGCATTCTTCAATATGTAGAATACATAGTGTAGAATATGGACACATCCTACAATATGTAGAATATTATGTCCATCCATCTGAATTATCTACCTAGATCAGATCGCTAGATCGTGTCCTCCTCAGAGTCCTAGGACGACGCGAGTTGTCACTGCTTTAGTAAGGTACTTAGGCTTTATGTGAGATCAAACATAAATGAGCCAGATCTCAAGTAAAATCACACAGTGAAACAAGAAGAATAGGACAAAACGTCATGTGGGTTTACTATCAAACATTAACTTACAATTCAGTTAACATCACTTTATTAACACTTTCTATTACTTCTATCATCACATTTCACCCCCACTTTCCTCCATTCCAGCGTTAAATCTCATTCATCCTCCCACTGACCTATATTGAGATGATGCAGATGTTTGAGGCCAGCAGTGGCCTGTTTGAGCACCTCGATCCCGGAGATCTCGGGACCGCCGTAGCGACCCAGCACGTAGTCCTGCACGTTGGCAATGCACAGCTCCAGAGCGATGTAGCGGAACTGGCGGTCCTGCTCCATACAAAAATACCTGTCCGAGGGAAAACGGGGAGGGTGAGAGATGGTAGCTTACTGACGGCCCTGCTCCATTCAGAAATGGCTGTCCCGGAAAAAAAGAATTTGAGATGAGTCATGATCAAAGTTACTGCTATCAGAAACTTTACTTCCCAATGCCCTGGCATCAGCATCACTCCGACCGCCGTTCAATTCTCACATGACATTCATCTAACATTATTGCCGTCGCAGTGTCATCACCCAAGATATGACGATCACTTTTCATCACCCACATCACATCCATCACATCACCTACCTTATGACGTTCCTCTGTCACTAGTCACTACCATCACTCACATCACATCCGTCACATCGACACGTTTTTTATAACACATCTGTTCTCCCGTGAATTTCCGACAAGTTGGTTAGAAACTTTCAAAAAAGGTACAGTCACTACTCACTCAATTTTTCTCAAGTTTTTCTGTCTTGACAGATCAAGCAATGCCAGAACAAGCTTACGAACACACAATTTTGATCAGGATCGGACGATTGGACACTTTTCAAAAGCGATCTTTCCTGCCTCCCGGAAATTCACGAGAGAACAGATGTGGGTAAAAAAACGTGTCGACATCACTGTAAGAATCTTGGACATCACCTACCTTATGACGTTCGGGTGCTGGTCAGACTCCCTCAGAAGCGCCACCTCGCGGTCGGCAAACGTGAAACAGTCGGGCAGGAGACGCTTTACGGCCACGTCCCGACCGTCAAACCAGCCCCTGAGGGTCAGGTCAGGTCAGGTTAGGGTCAGGTCAGGTCAGGGGCAGGTTGAGAATAAGGCTTTCGGTAGGGGTAAGATGGTAGAACGGGGCACGCCGAAAGTCCCTGTGGGTCAGGTTAGGAACAGGGTCAGGTTGGACATATGGGTCCAGGTGGAGGTGGGGTGGAGCTGTACAGGAACAGATACACAAAGCTACTACGTCGCGCCCGTCAAACCAACAGTGGAAATCACAATAATTATAACTCATCGGCTTTTTTTAGTATACCGTCATGGTACTGTGCACACTTCAGAAGTTGAAAAGCAAAAAGTCAGAAATCAAATCATATCATTTCCATCCAGCACACATTCCGACTTCCAAAGACCCAATCCTTCCCTTCCAGTCACTACTTTAATACTTCATAATTCCTCGCCTTCTCCCTACGCTCAAATCCATCACCATCACCAACCCCGTCCCTCTCGTATCACTCACTTGTACACAAATGTGCCCTCGCAGCCTTTTCCGATGCACTCCTCCGAGTCAAAGCTGATCTTCCCCACTCGCACCACTCCGCCGTCCAGCTGTTCGCACTCGGCTGTGGCCTGGCGCTGTGAGCTGCGCGAGCCACTGCTGCCTCGTGAGCCGAGGGCGGAGCCAGAGCCGGGCCCGGACGGCCAGGAGGGCGGAGTGCGCGTCTGGTCCTGAAAGAGGGAGGGGGAATGAGAGAGAGAGAGGGGGGTAAGCAGAGAGGCGAGACATTGTGAACTTGCGGTATTTGCTTGCTGATTGACAATGGAGTCGGTTGACATTCCACAGCCCAGAAAAGGCATGATGCTTGAACCACAACGCATCGATAAAATCAAAGAGACGTAAATCGATAAAACATACCCCCGAACCTTGTCCGTACAATATAGAGGAGAAAAAAATACGGAAAATAAAATATTTTGATAGCATTCTGTCGCCCACATACATATTTTATACAAACTACAAAAACGTCAAGTTCCCTGCTGCCTCGCGTGCTTCATCAGTTACTACACGAAATACCCCAGAGCATAGACCACTATATACCACTATATAGTGGTCTATGCCCAGAGCCATGATTCTCCTCCTTTGACCAGAGGCCAGTTTCGCCAATAAAAAAACAGACGACTGCGATTATTTTTTGACAAAACGATAGTCTCAAAATATCATTTACTCCTAAACATACTAATCGCTGACTTGAAAAATGTAATAACGCAGCTTTCAAGTGCTATATTATTTGGTCAGCAATTACTTTTTCCACCGGTAAATAGGATTTATAGACTATCGTTTTGTCAAAAAATAATCGCAGCCGTCTGTTTTTTATTGGTGAAACTGGCCTCTGAACAAGCCTGAAGACTCCTACCTCCCCATTCCTTCCCATCCCCCATCCTACCCAGGCATTGGTAAAATCCTTTTTGAAAGGATTGCATTCCCAATCCACATTCCTAGTGCCGAAGTGGATTGCATTCCTACCCGCAATCCCCTTTTTCACTTGGATTGAGATCAAATCCGCAATCCTTTTCTGCAATCCTGTTGTATTATTATGTGCACTAGTGGATCTGGGGGAGGGAGGGGGGCATAGGGCCGTGCCTCCATCCCCAAATCACCCATTTCTAGTACCTAGTCTTGCGAGTAATTCCTATCTAAGGCACAGGTATTTTATGGGAAATATTTTTTGCCTCAAACACCCCCACATTGAAACCTCTACCCAACCAGTGTTTTATATTTTTGAAACTCGCCCTCAAATACGTAACTTTGCCCTTCCTATGTAGTTCATCAGCGTATATTATTTTGAGCGTTTAAATTAAAAGCGTTTAAATTATTTCAAGTTTAGATGTAAAGCCCTTGATAGCAAAGTACATTAAGCCGATGAAGCCGATCCAATAATTTTCAATCGCAACAAACCATTTCAAAGCACTAATCAAACACAATCCGGATTGGATTGCAAAAAATGGAAGTATGATGCAATCCAATCCGCAATCAAATCCTGTTTTTTGGAATGGATTTCAAATCCGGGTGCAGTCCACCAAAAAGGAATGCAATCAGGATTTTGCAATCCTGCAATCACAATCCTACCGATGCCTGATCCTACCTTCCATCTCAGCAGCGTAACCAGTAGTGCGGCCAGCGCCAGGACGGCCACCACAAACCAGGCCCGTTCCGCTCCTCCGCCGGCGGAGGAAGACGAGAGAGTGTCGTCCAGCAGAGAGGCCCACTCGGGTGGTGAGAGTAGGAACGTCGTGTTCAGCGTGCGCACCTGGAGAGAGCGGGGTGGGGTGGGGTAGTTAATGGGTTTAGTGCGAGATGACTGAGATGATTGTGAAAGCTAAGATAATATGTGAGTGTTTGGAGCGGAAGACTAGTGAGGGACGGTTTTCTGATTATCCGTATTTGCAACACTGCATAATACAGCAAGCAGTCAATTTACTTCACTCCTAGCAATGAGTCGACACGCATATCAGCATCAGCCCATCCTTTCCAAAGGTGGCCTAGCCAGCTCTACATCACGGTCCCAATAGAAGTCTCTTACCATTTTCGATTCACCCAACGACACAATGTGAAGCCCCCTGACGGCTGACAAACATCACATCTTCAAACCAGTCGAATCCCAAATCCACAGCCCCCTCCACCCCTCACCTGCGTCCAGAGCCAGCGCCACCCCCTGGCCGGCTGCGGCTCCGTCTGTGTGGCCGCCTCGGTCCAGGCGTGCGGTAGGTAGGTGTTGGGTCGGGCGCCCTGACTCGGGCTCTCCGCGCCGGGCCGGCTACGCTCCCCCGGGCCGGGGTTCAGAGGGGTCAGCTGCTCCGAGCGACTCACGTTCGGCACGTCATAGAAACCTGGCGGGGAGGGGAGGCAGTGTGAAGCATGGGAAAAAACGGAACAGGAAAGTGAATGAGAGATGACTAGAGTGGAAAGTTCCCGTAAAACTTTTGGAAAACCTGAGGAAGGTAAATACCTATCATTTGAAGAGGAGGGGAACAGGGTGAATTGAAGGTTTCATGACACGATACGATTGTATGCTATATGCCAATATTTCCTTTTTAGGCGCAAACGAGTGCCAAGACGCATAGGTAAAACAAAATCGTTTTGGTATTAAACTTAACAGTAACCTTGACAGCAAAAGAGAGCGGAAATGGGAACAGCAAACAATTCACAAACAAAACAGTTATCGCTCACCGATCTGCAGCTGTTTAGGTGTCTCCGTTTCGTCATGCAGTTTAAAGTAGCTCCCTGATTGGCTACTGCCGCCGTTGGCGTCCGCTGATTGGCCGGGCTCGCGCGGTCCGTCGATCAGCGGCCGCCGTGATTGGCTGGTGATGACGTGCACGGTGGACGAGTCGACCAATGACGGCAGCGCGTACAGTCCGTGCTTGTGCTCGCCGATGTACAGCGTTGGTCTGAAGATGGGGGAAATGTGGGCTCGTGATGGCTGGAGATTTAGAGGGTTTGTAAGGACTGAGATAAACTAGGGTCCTTCAGGACATACATAGACTACGAGACTGTCCGTTTTAGCGAGTGTGTATCATAACCGTAAAACACAAAAGAAAAACGGCAAGTAAGGCCAGCTGAAACTAGTGGCGACTATTGAAAGTTGAGAAACTCGGTCGAAAAAATCGAGTTTTTTATAAAACCTGTCATCAAGAGTCCTCAACACCCCTCCACCCACCTACCGTGTCACCCCTGACGCAGCCACGGGCTATGGCCACAATCATTTCCAGTTTTCCCGAACAAATTCCCGCAGGACTTACACAAGCACCATGGCAAGCTAAGGGCTTAGAGTACACATCGGACCAGTTTTCCCTCCCTCACTATAACTTACACGAGCTTCCTGGCAAGCTACGGGCAAGGGGTACACCTAGGGCCAATTCTTTCTCCCCCACTATAACTTACACGAGCTCCCTAGCCTCCACAACATCGTGTGTGAGCGCGCGCATCGTCTCAGTAGCCACGGTGGTGTGCGGGACCAGGTATAGGCCGTCGAACGCCAGGGCGTACACCCCCACCACGGGCGAGTCCAAGTCGGTCTGCCGGCGGAGAGACGTGGGGAGAACGGGTCACGGACGAGTCCATTACGGTGTCAGGGGGAGAACGTGTTTTTTTTTTCAGCGGCGGGGAAAAATAGGATTTCATTACCAGATACAGTTTGAATTACCGTGATCGAAATGGCCAAATAAAATGCTACCAATACCAAATGATCCAGTACCATGTGCACAATATTTATGCATTCCTCGACACAAATTTGTCTTTGCATCTGCTAACATTAATCTATATCATAGCATGGACTGAAGAATGGATCAAAAGTGATGACCATCCTCTCTATCAAGACAACAAGCACAAAACTGTAATAATCAGCACTTAATCAGCAATGGAGCGAAACGTTCAACGCATAGCATACGTAATGAAATAGCGCGGGCCTGTAATCACAGCAGCTCGCGGGTCGATGGTACGTCAATAGAAATACACGCCCACAGGGCGCCGAGCGTGCATAGTGGCCATTCGCCCCATTCAGCTCAACAGTCATGATAGAAACCGTCGTTAAAAGTTTGTTAAGTGCAACACTTCAGTTCTAGCACATATAAATGCCTTGCTTTAAGCAATTATGTCTTCATAGCATGAATCGATATTCCTTCTCTCTATTGAAGACGTCTGCGTTGCTGAACACTCAGATACACTCATGCATTATGCTCGTCATCTCTCTCAGCCCTTTTTCACTTCGAGATGCTTCGCGGTGTCCCTGATGAAGATCACTACACATTGCTGGGCCCCATTGTTCTCTCATACATAGTCCTTCCTCAGCTACCAGACTGAGGTGGTTGCCTATTCTATATACGTATTGACGCCCATAGCCCTATATAAGCATTGCCGCCCATAGCCCTCTTACAAGCTCACACACGACACAGCCCGTTCTCACCTGCCAGAGATGTGTGCCGGTGTCCCTACTGAAGGCCATCAATCGGCCCGAGGAGGTCGTGGTGAAATGATTCATCGCTGTCGGATAAATAAAAGAGGGCGACATTAGCTCAGTGCTGCGATACTGTATAAGGGTCCATCTTTATCGACGCATCCTTACGGATACCAGCGTGCGCAGAGACAGACACAGAAAGGCGAGAGCAACATTCGTTCATTCTGCAACAGACAGTTCTTACAACGGATGCACTACGAAGAAGTCCTTAAAGTTACTTAGATATGAAACTATGATATTTCATAACACTTCACTGGCACTCTCAAATTCAGTACCAGTGTCAAGGAACTACACGGTAGTTTGACCACTTTACTTTGTTGAACGAATTATCGGATAAAACTCACGGTATTTTTCGCGGAGTTCTGGCGGCATTTCGAGCGCCGAGAACTGGGTGTAGGTCAGGTTCCAGCGGCGGCCGCTCGACTTGCTGTCGTGCATGGACACGGTGTACTCTGTGGGTCAAACGGGGTCAGAGGTCAGGTCAGACGGGTTATTGACAAGGTGTACTCTGTGGGTCAAACGGGGTCAGAGGTCAGGTCAGGCGGCTCATTGACAGTGTATTATGTGGCTCTGACGGGGTCAAAAGTCAGATTATAACGGGCGTATCTGTATTATCGTGTGGTCAGAGATCACCGTCGTGGACAGCAAGTCAGGTAGTGCTGAAAGGCATCTCATCAGAAGGGACGACAGCCACAAATACTCCCGTACAATATCCGAATCATTTCCTATATCAGTGCCATAGATAATATGAATTTTGTTATTCATGTTGCATACAGATAAATCAACTGACATAGATTCATGTTATCTGTCAGTGCACATCACTGCCGCTCGCTCATAAAAAGCGCATAACATATACTGTACAGTGTATTACACCCTAATAAGCCAAAGCCAAGTTGTTACATACAGATAAAATCAACCACAAAAACATCACGTCCACACCATCAACAAGTGGCCGGTGTGTGTGGGGGGGGGGAGGGGGGAGGTACCACCACATCCCGGCCTAAACCGCTCACTCTGCGGATGGGAGGGGTCCGCGCACACCTGTGGGGTCGGGGGAGTGGGGAGAACAGAATGGGAGGGGCGACGGAGGCCAGGGTGGTGCTGGTAGCGGGGCAGGGATGTGGTTATGATGTGAAATGGAATCACATGATGACTATCACGTGCTTTCATCATCGCCACTCCAGGTGGCGCTGGCTTTAATATAGTTAGCTCTACAGCATGCACGTTTCGGAGAAATATACACGTCACTTGTCTTACAGACTTAGGAACTGAAAAAGATTTAGCGGGGTATGACATGCTCGCTAAACGCCCAATGCACGAAAACATGGAACGGCGCCGGGTAAGCATTGTTTTTTCATATGGTCAAATATACGGAACACCAACTGGTTTTAGTACATTTGTCTGCCCTCCCCCCCTCCCTCCCACTTCACCCCACCCACCCATTTACAGAAGCTCATGAGTCATGACATTACCGTAAGCACCTTAATTTTAAAGCTGTAATTAGTAAAGCTAACTGTGCCTTACCACTGCCGAGCGATAGTGTGTTTCTAGCATGGCAACAAAACCAGAGAATTAGACGTGATCATATAGGCAGGTAGCAAACGGAACATAGAACTCTGCCGTCATCCAGTCCAGAATTGGACAACACCGTCACAATCCCCTCCCTCCCTGACCTCCCCTGTTTTCCCTGACCAGGGTGAACAAACTCGTGACCAGTCCACACCTCTCTGTGCACCGCACTCTGCCCCCCCCCCCCGCGACCCCCGGTGGTCCGCTCTCGGTGCACGACCTGTGCACGAACTGTGCACAGGCTGTGCACGCCGCAGTTTTTACCATAGGCGTGCACAGCCAGTCAGTTAGCTGTCAGAGGTAGCCTGGACAATTTCCCTGTTCTCTGACGCTAACCACGACCCGAAGGTGCCCCGTTTTCGTCGGTTGAGAGAGGTTTGAGCGAGATCAGTGTGCCACTGCGGAGTTCTTAACTGGCCTAGCAGACTCGATGTGCAAGATTGTTGGATTCAATGTTATATACTTATATTTTGCGGTACTTAGGGAAGGGAAGAATTAGAGCAGATTCACGAGGGTAGAAGACCATTTTAACCAATTTTTAACCAACCATTTTTGTATGCCTATTTTCTACGAAAGCCAGAACAGCATTGGTAGCTCGTTAACGGAATAGCAGGCCACCACCACCACCACGGGCTAATAATGCAGCTAAACCGGTGTACGGACATTACAACCGCCGTCGCGCCCCGACCACCGACCCTGTCTCATCTCATAGATACAGTCTCATTTACCCTGTAATCCCTCGAAGTCCGACACCGCAGGTAAGCCATAGGCGATAGCTTGTCCAAATCCTCTTGTGATAAGCCTTCTAACCGCTCTAAACCTTCCCGTGATAAGCGTTCGATTAGGCTCGGGCCCTGCACTATGCACTGTAAAACAGCTGCAAAAATCCGCACACACCCACTGCCCGCATTTAGCGTCAGAATCGCTAGTTTTAGACCCATTGACCCCTAAATGCCTCTGTCTACCCGGCTGGTTACCTACCAAAGGTCACTGGCCCCCGGGCCGAGCCCCATAATGCGGGTCTCGACCCTCAGACTGATACACAGCTGCGATCGCCAGTGGGAATAACAATAGCAGAATGTCGGGCGAAGGTGGAGAGGAAACAAAGGGAAAGGAAACAAGGGGAGGGAAAGGCAGTCGGGCAAAAGTTACAGACCCCCCCCCCCCCCCCCGGCAGAAATATCGGAACAGAACTCATACAATATTTCAGCATACTACCATTTATTTTAGGCACGTCACTTGATATAAAGGTTAAGCCAAGGCGCCGCTGTATTTTCGGTGACGGAAAACCTAGCAATGTTCAGAGTTAAAATCTTTTAATTTTGGTAAGTGCAGAATAAAATAAAATGTAAATATTTCACAATTGAGCGCAAGGTGCTCGGACTATGTAGATGAGCGCGTTTATTGAGTGAGACGTTTTGTTCGTTTATCGCTGCTTAGGGCAAGGTCCGGTGGACTGTTCTTCCTCCCAGGGAGGGTATGTTTTGAATGTCATCCAATGGTCGTAGTGGCCCTTCCCGTGCACAAGCCCGACAATAAATCATGATTCATGATGTGGACAGAAAGGGCGTGGATGACGCTGCAAAACCAAGTATCAACAAGACCCGGCACAAATAAACTGTGTTTTGTAAGCCAGACATTGGTAATTGAGCAAGCAGAGCGATCCGGTAACAAAAAAAGTCAAAATGTAAATATGCTGGATGCAGTCAACTCATACATTATAGGTACATGACTCACGTTTTAACCCTCGCCCATGTGGGGGGGGGTTGGTGCAACCCCCCCCCCCCCCTGAGGTTTTTCGGAAATAGTGTAAAAACGGCGGCGCGCAGCGCCGCCAAATTTTAAGTACCTTATGGGGCAAACCTTGCGCATCTTTTGATAAAAAAAAAAAATTGACCGGGTCATGTCAGGTCACGGAGTTATGACGTCACAAAGGGAACAGCCTCCGGCCGGATTTTCACAAACTGAGTGCCAACGCCCGAGGTTTCTTGCCGGTGGTACGGACATCGGTTGATGGATCGTGATGAAACTTCCCATGCATATTGGGGCAAGTATTGGCTATCATATGGTATAAGAAACTTGACCGGGTCAGGTCAGGTCACGGAGCTATGACGTCACAAGAGGAACAGCGTCCGGTACTATTTTTGAAAAGCGCCCGAACCACTATTTTGCTAATTCTTGTCACCTCAATGGGAATATGCAGCAATATTAGCTTCTATAGGGAGCAAATGGACCTCCCAAATCCAAAAATACAATCAGATTTCAAAAATTTAAATTTTGATTTTTCGAATTTCTGCCGCCGAATGTGACCTTGCTGACTTCCGGCGCTCCCAACGCGCCATTTTTAGAGCTATGGAAACGAAATACATACCAAACAATAGAGAATTGATCAAGGAACACGATAGTGAAGGTTTCAAGTCGATATCTCCCACCGTTTTGCCGCAATCGCCGCGGAAAGTTGAAAAAAGTCTATTTTTCCGAAAATTTGACCTTTGACCGGTCAAAAGTAGGTCAAATGTTGACCTAGGACCAAAAAATATACCACCAATCGCGAGATCTCGGCGAGAGCAATCCGATGGTCTTTTCCGCTAAGCTCTACGACGCTCCGTTTTCAAACGCCAAGGGGGGGTCGCACCAACCCCCCCCCCCCCTGCATGGGCGAAGGTGGCAGATCGCCGTTTACGGGCGAGGGTTAACAGGTGAATTGTAATTCACATCGATCATTCAGTTTAAACGTCTGTGTAACCGGTCCACATACTCAACACACCGCCCTTTCAAGCCACCGACTTACGTAAAACTGTCATCATCTTCCATCGATCATCCGAAAGACATCGCTGCACATTGATCTTATCGACGGTAGACATAACCGGTAAATACCGACGAGTATTCCAGTCTTGTCACAACCCTGGCAGCTACTAGACGACCAATACGCCAATACTACTAAAATGCCATAGCGGATATCCGAAACCACGTCAAGCTTAACCGCAACCGAGTCCACTGACTGACCAGACCGATACACCACAGTAGCTAGCTTACTGTGCTTAGGTTTTCATCTGAGGCTGCTGTATGTAGCTGAGGCCAATGTAACCCCACAGCCAGGCTGTGTTTAAAAATACACGTGATTGCGCGGGTTCGGTAGCCGTAATTTAGTGTGATATCGAGCAGTGTATGATATACCGTGGCGACGAGGGCGGTGACACTACTGCTGTACGACAGCAGTAGTGTCACCGGTCCGACCAGACTACCAGCACACAGACTTAGACCAGTGCATACGGGTGTTCTGCCATTTCAAACGAACCAAATGCCACGCATTCTAAAATAATGGCCCAAAGAGCGTCATGGAGGAGTGTCATCAATGGCTAACTTCCAAATTTTGATCCTTAGCTGAGAAGTGAGAGCCATCTTAACCGACTTATCCATTGGCTGCGTATACCTGAGGCTCTAGTCCCCGCGTCAAGCCCAACTAAGCTCCTTACTAAGCGCCATGACCTTGGCCGAGACCTTCACAGTTCACAGTTCACGCAGCTGGTCGGGCTACTACGCCAGACGTGACATCACTACCGCCCCAAACTCTCGAGAGGGGAAGGGGGGGGGGGAGAAATGTTTGATAACATGTCATGGGGATGGGGCCGGGGAAGGTGAGGGAAACTCCCGACAAGAGAGATACCCCAACAGTTACATATTCATAGTGCGTCTTACAGTGATAAAGAAAGCGTTAATAGAGATAGTTTTGATGGAATGCGGTCGCTTTGGGGGTTCGGTTGAGCGGGTAAGGACGTTTTACGAACAGGGCGAAAAAATGATCTTAAAAAATTGTCACTTATGCGATACAGTTTCGTAGTCGTTTTTGCATTGTATCGCCTCAGGTAGTGTCTAAAATGCC